AAAAAAAAAATGGTTTTTAAGCCTGTTTTAACTCTGTCATAGTGATTTAAATTTAAAAAATGAAAACTATAATTCCAAGTATTTCTATTAAAAAAATTATTAACTTCATGTGTTGTTATTTATTAAATACTAAGAATTAGTTTGTTGAGTTTTTCTCAGTGGAAATGTGCTAAGTGGTGGCACAAATGAATACTGCACAATTGTTAAAAGGGGTAAGTCAGTTTCTCATATATGTGTCTAATTTGGATTCAGAGAGGATCCTGTACTTTGTGACAGCTGGGTAATGTAGTTTTTATACAGTTGTACACAGTCATAGAGCCAAAATTAGACTAGTATTTTACCCTGGTGATGAAGAAAGAAGATCTGAAATCAGTACTTTTAGATTGAGTTGTTAGCTTTGCTAACGTTCCTGTGGGATCCTGGGTAATATAATTGATTCATGTATTACAACAACTGGGTAACATGATACGAAGATACACTGAGAACTGATTAGAGAATGAATCTGCTTGCAGAATATGACTGATCTAACCTCAGGTGTTACTGCAGTGCGAAGTATTACAGAAACTCAGCAGAACCGATGAGTTAACAGAAAACTTCGTGAACTAAAACACTGATCATAGTGTTTGGTCAGACTAAAAAATGAAAGCGATTGCAAAATTAAGAACATAACATCAGTGTTTTGCATTGTCTCTCAATTATTTCTTCCCTAATAGAATATATTTCTTCTCCTTTTTTTTTCCAGATATTTGGTAATAGCGTGACAGATGTTGCTGTTTCTAATGGAATCCTGATTGTAATGTATAGCATGGGTCTCGTCAGGCTCTATAACTTCCAGGCTATCTCTGAACAGGTAATGAAATATGAAATTTTTCATTTTTGGGGCAACAAATCATAAATATTCATGTAATGCCACATAAGTACATGGGAAATATGTCAAAGGATAGAGTTCTTGCCTAAATCTGTTTACAGTCAGAAGATTCTACCCACACCAGTTACAGGTGGGAAAACATAACAGATACAGGGTCAGACAGGCACTTAAGTGCATATAAAGAGGAGCTATGTAAATGCTAGACCAGAGTGTGCTCTTCTTTACACACCTCTTGTATTGGTTCTGGCTGAGATGGAGTTAATTTTCACCATAGCAGCCCTCATAGTGCTGTGCTTTGTATTGGTGGTTAGAAAGGTGTTGATAACACACCAGTGCTTTGGCCACTGCTGAGCAGTGCTGACACAGCATCAAGGCTGTTTCTTGAACATTCCCTGCTGTGCCCCTCACCAGCAGGCTGGGTGTGGGCAAGATCTTGGGAGGGGACATAGCCAGGACAGCTGACTCAAACTGACCGGAGGAATATTCCGTACCATATGATCTCTAGGCAGCAGTAAAAGCTAAGAGAAAGGAGGAGGAGGAGGGAGCATTCGCTACTTAGAATGTTTGTCTTCCGGAGCAACCGCTAGGTGTACTGAAGTAGCTGAACATTGCCTGCTGATGGGAAGTAGAGAATAAATCTCCTGTTTTCCTTTGCCTCCACACACAGCCTTTGCTTTTGCTTTATTAAACTGCCTTTAGCTTGGCCCAACAGGTTTTGTTTCCATCTTAATTCCTCCCTCCCTGCCCTGCTGAGGAGGGGATTGATAGAGTGGCTTGGTGGGTATCTGGTGTCCAGCCAAGGTCAACCCACCACACCTAGTCTGTCGTTACGGATGAGTGTTGAGCCTAGAAACTGATGAGTATGGAAAATTGTTTGATCTGAAGCAGAATGGCAGTGAGACTTTGGCGTTTATATTCTTTCAATCAAAAACCAAACGTTAATTCAAAAATAAGACTTCAAGCAGTATCTAACAATAAAGAATGCAGTAGTAACAGAGCAGTAAAACTAAACAGAAAGTAAGTACGCATGAATAAAGCTAAAATATTCTGTGTTGTTTTAGTTCATGGAACAGCCGTTTGATTTGGGACATGAATTCAACTGGGATGGTCAAGTGGGAGTTGTAGGAAAGTATCCATTTGGTCTTCCATGTAACATTAAAATAACAGGTATTTATGATGTTTGTATTATCTTGGCTGGTGGCTTTTACGGATTGATTATGGCTTTCACATTTTTCTTTCACAGCAAGAAAAACATGAAAATTACTGTACTCATATTGTGCTGTGGCTCTATTTCTGGGTTTACGTTATAGTAGAGATACATTTTGCTTTAATTCTAATTACAAGAATAAATTACATAGGACTTACCTAGAAAACTAGTACAGCAAATAAGCTATTTGAAAAGCTTCATAAACAATGCCTGAAGCGGAAACCCCTTCCTTATTTCTGAGACACAACTCCTCTTGGGAAAGAGGAAGGGCTAGGGCAGCTGTTAGTAACACCCAGAAACAGTATTCAGTATGTAAGCAAAAGATGTAAGAATGTTTATTCTAACTGGCAGAGGGAATTCAAGGAAACAGAATACAATTTGTCCAATTGCATGTTGATAATTCTTCAGTTGTCAGAAATGTGGCAGTTTCAATAAAGTTAATTCCTCAAATTCCTCCACTAACTTATGAATGTTCTACTTTATGTAATGACTTTAATTTCTCTGAAACCAATCAATCATTTCTGTTGGTGCATTTGAGGTTAGAATTTGGTGCTAAAAATCTTAATGAGTGACCACAGCCTGAGACTTTCTGTGAAACTTTTTTACTTTAAAAATACATTCTCACAAGTTCACACTTGAGGCACTTCCAAAAAAAAATTAGTAGGTTTCATCAATATCAAATATTTAATTTTGAATGTTTCTCTATTAAATGGTTTTTACAGGTGACTGTCCACATTAAAAAAATGCTTTTGCTCTTTATGTTTACAAACAGTATCAGATAATAACAGGCAAATCAAATCAGATTCATGTAAACCTGTGGAAATACACTAAGATAAAATACAGACATACGTAGTGAAGGCTCTCAATTATAATGCAGTGTTTTATCAAAACAAAGTGATAGGCTGCTATAATTCATGTCTCAGGTTCTGCAAAGGGCAATTTCTCCTCATTTTCCTCTCTGAGTTTGCAAAATCACAATTTCATGTTAGGGGCCCTGTGGAAAACTTGCTGTTGGAGTTTAATAGAAAGCCTATTCCAGATTTGTTCTCGTGTCTTATAGACTGTTGTAGTTGTTAGTTTTGAGATTTAAAACCAATGTACTACAGAAAACATTTTTGATCTTGAATCATATTCAAGAATTTATGCTTAAGAAGTTTTGAACTTGTGACAGACATTTGCCATGGCTGCTCTTTGCAGATAGTCGCATTCCTGTGGGTTTTGAGCTGTTTTCTTTCAAGAAGGAGATGGCAGACTGAGTGTTCAATGCTTCAGTGAGCAAGATTTTAACAATTTTAGAGTTTAAACTTGTATTTACCATAATTTAACCATGTGTAATTTTCCTGCTTATTTAGTCCTAGCCTTCCTACAGAAATTGCCTGAAGGGATGGCACCCAACAGGAAATGTATAGAGATCAAAACTTATAGGCTACCTACCACGTCATTTACAGCTATTGACTGGTAAGGAATTTTATTTTAGTCACAGTGGAAGGAGTGGAAAAGGCACGTATAAATCTTCATTATGTCACTCTCTGAAAGGTCCAGAACTTAAAACTGTAGTTTAATTTATTATTAGAGAATACAGTTTCATAAAAAAAAAAAAAAAAAAAACAGAGGAAGATATATTGCTTAGATTTTTTTTACGTTTAGAACAAATACACTTGTTAGTGCTGCCAAGAACAACTCGATGGCTTTACATTTAGATGAGGCTGGAGAGTTTTAAGGAAGTGAACAAAGCAGCTCAACTGGAGACTGAGAACTGGCAATGCTAGGGAAAGGACTTAGAAAGAATGTGAACAGCAGGTGTTGAGCAACAAGAATGAGTGCCACATAGCAGGAAAGAGGGAGGAAAGAGCAGTCACGCTATCACAGTGGTTTAAGTGGCCATGACCTTGCAAATCTTTGCCAAATGAACATTAAAAAAGTAAGGCATATTTTATCGGCAGCCTGTGCTGCTTAGAATTGATATATTATTGAAACACATTTAAATGTATCATCTTTCCATCTACCAGAATTTTTGAGAGACATTGTTGTATATGCTTTATTTAAAAAGAAAAAGTTGATAAGGTAACATGTTAGCAAATTTTCTTGACTCATTTTTCATTTCTAACAGATTTTAATATCTATAGGTCCTCTGCTTATGCCTCCATCTTCAACACTGTCTGTATTTTCAGCAGATGCCTCGTTTTTTATAACCTACACTTTACTATATATACAAAATATATAACATATATATAATTTTGACATAGAACTGTATCTTGCACAGAATCTCCTATGTGTTAGTCCAAAAGACAACTAGAAGATAGCCAGCTTAGGAAAGATGTCATTTCCGTGGGCAGTGAACTAATTGTTTTCAATCTAAACAGCTAAATTCTTGGAAATATGAGTGAAGGAAAAAAGAGAGAAGCACTATGTAAACAAATTTCTGATGTCATGTGACATCTTAGCATCATTGGCTAGGATCTCGATAGTTCTCTAGACCAAGCAGGACAAGAAGTCGTCAAAATTTGGATGAGATCTTTGGGACACAAAAGTCTGGATAAGAGCCTCATTCTTCTCACAATAATTGAGCTTGGGGTTTTATATTCTGCCTTTTTAAATGTCCCTTGTCATTGCAGATTTTCTCCATGCTTTGTCTTCTTTTTTTCCAGCACTTCTATGTACTGTTAGAGCTGATCTTCAGTCTAAAAATTATTTAGTTATAGCAGCTGTAGAAATTGCTTTTATTTAGCTAGTTGGTAAAAGTTGTTAAGCTCCATGCAGTGCATTTCGTTCAAAGATACTTCTCTCATTTAGTACACAGAGAACTTGTAAGAATGGTGTATTACATCTGAATAATTTATCCCAACTGAACTGAAGGGAAAACTAGAGACCTTTTGCCATTAATTATGGCAATAAAAATTCCTAGATTTTTATTGATTTTTATGAACTCAGCCAGAGATTCCATTTGTTGTGGTCCACACTATTTTGTTGTATTACGCAAAAGGAGAAGGAACATTCAGGTTCAGATATCTTTCTGCATTTAATTCTCTTGAGATTGCTGCTGTTAGCCTGTTTCCAGCTATTTATCACTATTTTTCCCAAGAGAATAGTGACCCTTTTGATATGCTCTTTGATCTGTTCATGTGTACGTCCTCTCTCATTCAGATGAGCTGGATTCATTTTAGTTGTTTGCTACATCTTTGCTTGTCCAGCTTGTTTGGAATGAAGTAAGTCAAAGGTAGCAGAAGAGCAGTTCAGCATGAAGATCTGAGAAGGCAGTAACCTTCCACAGGGAATTGCAGATATATGCCTGGATGCTAGGTGAGGTAGCATAGGTGGTGCTAGAAAAAAGATCACAACCAATGTATTTCCACCAGTCTTCAGAAGTTCTGAAGAATTAATAGCTCTATTGGAATTTAGAATTGTAAGGATCACTGGAATTATGATTGTTCTGCTACTAATGGTGTTAACATTACTGAATATTTGCAGATACTCCACCTTTGCTATTTGAAGCATCTTCTCTGGAGAATGCATTTCAAATTGGAGGTTACCCCTGGCATTATATCATCACACCTAACAAGAAAAAAAATAAAGGAGTCTTCCATATTTGTTCTCTGAAAGACAATGCTTTGGTAATATATTCAGATAGCAGCTTCTCTGAAATGAATGTGTATCACATTTGTCTTCATCTCTTCTTCTGAGTAGTGCTCGAGGTAACAATACCCTTGTTTTCCAGTGTGGTGCTCTCACTGGGATCACCCCACAGCATTACATCTGCTATCCAGTGGAGTCATGTGTAAAATGTTTTCTTCTGAATTAGTACTGTTTCCAATATTTCCTTAATTCCAATATAATTGTAGCACGGTCAGTGCTACATAGCACTGTATTCTCGGCTTAAATGTTAAGGTTCAAGCAGAATCTCATGACCTTGTTCCTTGCATGGTAACATCTTGATGCACTTCGGACTAGTCAGCCTCCCAAATGGCATGACTAAAGAAATATTTTAAATTTCAAGAAATTGCAGAAAAAGTTTCCTTAGTGTTTGTAGTTTAGCCTTGATTTGTACCTTCTCTCTCCTCCCCCAGAAAGATTTTATTACTCAGTTTAATCCCTCTCTTGCCCTAGAAATATTTTATTGCTCAGTTTAATCCAGCATTCCTAATTATTTTTGTTTATGTGCTATTCATCATACATTCTTTTGCGTGAGCTCTCTATTTCAGCTTTTATTTTGGATCTGGATTTGACCTGAAGATACTTCTGTAATAGAAGCAGCTTCTAGGCCTGTTAGTTCGGAGTTCTTCACTAAAAAACTTCTCATTTGTAAATGTCCTCATCTCTTTTACTAGCCCGATCAAATCAATGATCCTCCTCCTGTTTTCAAAACAGATCTTTCACAACCATAGCTGAAGATCAATTTTAATTCAAAGGGACTTGTAAAATCCTTTCTCACCTATTTTTTTTAATGTGGCTTCATACTTTTGAAAATTGGAATGATCAGGGTCAGCTAAATTTAACAACAAAAAGCCACTGCCAAAATCCCAAGATTTTGACCAGCTTGCAGCTGAAATCACAAGCTACCCCAGGCTTACACACTCCACAAATATTTGCTTAAAAGAGGCTGAGCCTGAGGTTCGAAGCTGAAGTCAAAGTTTGTGCTAATGCTTTTCTCATGTCTTGACACATCTCATGTCTTTGACACTTGAATTGCTGGAATTGTTGAAGAGTTTGCAGAGTGTAGGCGAAATCTTCCTTTTGCTTAGTTTCAGGAGAGATAGGACCATGTTTAACTGTGGTACAAGGTCATTGCTTATTGCATATTAAAAGTTGAAACTGTTCCATGGAATATCTGGAGAATTGGAACTGAGTCTATTTTTTTTGTTATTATTGTTCCCCTGCCATCCTTTCTGGTCATGATTAGGAGCAATACTTAAAATCCTTCAGAGGTATGTGGAGAGGAGCTCAGTATTTCTTCTTTAATTAGATCTGTGAGACTTTAAAAATACTGATATTCTAAGCTTTCCTTTCCTTCTTCAGGCAAAAAATGGCATACAGGATATGAAATGCTGTTCGCTGGAACCTGATTGGATATACTTCCATCCAGATATGTCAGGTAGAATAATCCACGTGGGACCAAACTTGATAAAGTATGAACCTTTTTTCTCAAATCTTATATTCATTAGAGGAAAAATTGCATAGCTGCATAAATTCAGTAGTTTGACAATTTGGAGGCCAAAACACTCATCAAGCCATAGAAACTTTTTAATTTGTCAGAATCAGAAGTTCTAGTAGAAACATCTGCAGATTTCTATGTGATGAATGTGGGCACTGGCAGGCAACACTAGATTCTGACATGAAACATGTTCAAGGACCACTGCATTAAAATTTCACTGAAAAATGTAAAATACAAACACGCTTCAGTTATTTCTGATGTTTTAATATACCTGTTTTTTTTAAATTATAAATATAGAAGTGTTGTAGTCGGTGAATTAGACTGCATGACTGACTTTGTAATTTCTCTTTCTTTGGTAGAGTCCTGAAGCTTAAGGAAGTAGAAAATAATACAGATCAAATGGAGATTGCAGAAGATTTTACGATTGTGGCCAACAGAGAAAACTGTGTGAGTTTAGTGTCCGAGATCAAAATGTATGATTTTGAGCAATACGCAAGGGTTTTGCGTATGTGAGTAATCACTGTGCTTTATGGGCCTAATTCAAAGTTTATTGAAAGATATTCCAGGTTTTCGTTGGACTTTAAGCTGTATGAAAAAAAAAATTGAAAACAGTAACACTTTCTGGATAGCTTTCTGAAACCTCCAGTCTTATCTTTAGTTTTCATCATTCTTTATAGTGTGCAGTATAACCATGTATCACTGATATAAAACATACTTAAAAGATGGTGACAGATTCCTTCAAAAGAAGGTTCCACCAAGTGATAGTTGTGTGTATCTCTGGTGCTCAGGTAAGCTGATCATACAAATGCTAAAAATGTTTCAAGTCTCTCGCAACTTAGGGGTAAGTCTTCATAAGACAACAAAGACAAAATATTACTTCCAAAAGTCTGTTTCTTTTCCTGGCCGTGTACATCCGTCACTCCTTGTGACAGGGCTGGCATTCATCTAACCCTTGGTGAGCCAAATCAGTGCACTAAGATAACAGAATAATAACCCAGCAGAAAAGGTGAGTACTTTTCCACTCGCTTGGTGATCCGACCTGGAGCTGGAACAGAACAGAACTGAATCATCAGAAGGGTGCAGAAAGGTGGAACCAGATGGCGAGGGGATGATCTGAACCTCCTGGTAGAAATGAGCTGTTGAATCACCTTGGTTGCTTCATGAAGTCTTTTGTGATAGAAAATCACAAAGACAGTCTAAATGTCAAAAAGGTTAAAGAGCACACTTGTGAGAAAGTTTTTTGGCAGTGCCTGGAACTGTCATTTTGCTTCAGTGCATAAAGTTATGTCTTACATAAAAGCAAATTTTTACAGTTTATGAGTACTGTAAAGTCCCTGGAAATCAGTGGTATTAATTTTGAAGCTTCTGCAGAAGAAAAGTTTGTGTAGTAAAAATCTACACCAACTGAGGAATAAAACTTCCATTGAATCAGAAAGGATAAGGTTTGTCATCTAATGACTTACCATATTTATTTATTTTTTTAGAGTTTGTGTAGACAACTTCTGTTGTAATAAGAGGAAAGAAATAAGAGTTCTGATCCTAGCTATGCTATGCCTTTTCGTTTGACTTTCATTAGGACATTGATACCTCAGTTTTGAATGTTTCTGGTGTTAATGGTGCCCAGTGGAAGCAGTTGTGGGTAGTTTAAGTTGCTGCTTTCCCCATCTTCTGGAAGTAAGAGTTTAAGAATCAAATTGGAGGTGACTTAGCTGTCTTGATTCTCATTCCAGCATCCTGGCCTCAGTCACTTCTCTTCTAAAAATGACTGGTAGCTGAGAACCGTTGTCACCTCTACAGGGCTGAGAACCTCTGAATATGAGTAAACATCAGTAATATCTCAATTAAAACCACTGAGTTTATGAGCCCTCATAAAGAAGAGATAGCAGCACTAGGGCCATACATCGTTAATGAGTAAAACAAGGTCAGAAAGCAAAAGCCATTAAATAGTTTCTTCTTATCTGTTTGATGTCTAAAATACTTTAAAGTCTAGAGCCACTTTTTTCTTCTTCTTCAAAGGTGAACAACGCTGTTACTGTAACAGCTTCTGGTCGGGTGGTGAAAAAGCGTTTTAACTTGCTGGATGATGACCCAGAACAAGAGGTAACTGAGTAAGAGCAGTTCATGGATTATTGAAGATGTTTAGCTAGCCATAAGTCATTCTTGTTTCACGTGCAGTGGCTATAATCGTTAGCCATGTTAATCTTTGAGTTCTTTATTCCTCTTCTGTGGCTGTCTTTGTCTTCTAAACTTCTAATTACTTCACTTCACCGTCTCTCTGTCATCTTTTCTCCTTGGTTCACATTTGCGCTTTGGATAGTCTCTTTCGTTACAGAACTGATCTCATGCCCCATGATACCGTCATAGCTCTACGTGCCGTCAGTGGCACAGAAATGAGATGTTAACGTGACAAACCATTACTCTTCTCTCCATTCAAACATCTCCCTTAAACGTTTCTTATAATGCATTTTGGGACATGAAAGAAACATACTTCTTTTTTTCTCTAATTTAGATTCCTCTAGTCTTTGATATAGTATCTCTAAACTGTTTTTTTCTCTCCCAATTACTTTGATTAGATTGCAGGACAAGGTAATTAACGTTTTTTCTTTAAGTAACTGCTTCTTGAGAGTGAAAACACTACATGCCTTGGTGTTGAGTCATCAAGATGTTATAAAGAATATTTTTTAGCTCTCTATTTAAAGCTGGAGCTGTATTTGACATAAACACAACAGTTAAAATTAATCAATTTCTGGCAGCCATTTGTATTCTTTTTTCTGAGGAAATAGATTTTGCTGTGGTAAAAATACAGGACAGGCCAATATAACCTGTAAGGTCTGCAGTTCATTTCTATCCACTTTTTTTTTTTTAAACATAATAAAAATCAGAGTCTGCACACTGTTTTTTTTTTCCTGATGTTAACACTGTATTTATGATTCCAGTAGAAATTTTTCCATTATGAAAGAAAAAGACTGCCTTTAAATTAGAGTATGTTACCAGGTTCATGACAGTGAGATAGAGGCAATTAAGGCAGTTCACAGTCTTCATCTTTTGATCTCAGTTCTTCACTGGCACATACTCGGTGGAGCAAGAGAGCTCTAAACAGAACATACAGGTGTTCATGTGAATGGAACTACTCTAATATGCCCATCTCCTCAAAACCAGTAATGACTTTAAGCTCTACTGTCTATAACATGTCTGCTTCAAGAGAGGGCATGGAGTTTAAATTGTTTCTTCTGCCACTTTCAAAGTACTTTTTTTCTATTTCCTGTATGATATATATAAAATACATCTACTTGCACATTAGGATTGTTCAGAACATGACTTTATTCTCTCCTCTCTTAAGGAATGTTGCTGAAATACATTGGACAACTTGTGTTGGGAAAGATGCCTGTTGGGTGTCAGGCTGGCAAAGTGTTCTTTGTCAGACCAGAAGACAATTTTTCCAATTCTGCTTTCACCTGAAAGAAAAAGAGCTATGCCATTTAGGTAGAGGGGAATGTGAATTTATGCTTGATTTGTAAACTTGAGGTTTTGTTTTTCTTAAGACATTCAAAATTGTGGACTATGAGGATGAATTGGATTTGTTATCCACTGTGGCAGTTACTCAAATAGGAGCTGACGGAAGAGCTCACCTTGACTTTCATTGCAATGAACATGGGATTCTACTGAAGAGTATTCCATTACTGGAGTCCTGGGATGTGGTGAGGAGAATTCCTGTCTTTTGTTTACGCTAACACTTCCCCTTACCTGTCTACCTACCATTTTTGTTCAGATTTGAAGCAGATATATAAACAGTGTTGCCAAGTGCTATGGATGAGATTTGTACAAAATAATAATCATAACTCAGAAATTTTAATTATTCCATCAGTCAGTAGTTTGTTTATCTGAAAATCTCCTTTATTTGAAATAAGTATTTTTTTTGTTGGTTGATTTGTTTGGGTTTTTGGCTGGGGGAGGGGTTGTCCTTAGGTATTTCTGAAGTATTTACCAACTTGAATACTCACCCTCTGGCTAGTTACATCAGTTTAACTTTACAACTTGTAAATAGTCTCACTAGCTTAACTTGAACTACTCACGCATAGAATTAAGCATGGACCTCACTGTGTGTTTATTTGGAGAGATGGAATGGGCTGTTTGTGCAGTCCAAGTTTAGGTGGACATCCAACTTAGATGATCTGAAATATTCAGCACCTCTTTTATCATTGACTGCAAAGGCAACTTAGAATCTTAAATCAGATGCTCTCTGAATTGCACTTAGATTCCTAAAACAGGCATGTGGGAAACTCTCAAAGTTTTAAAATTCTATCCCTTATCTGGAAGAGCAATCTGTGTGTATCCACACAAAATTCCTGTCTGATCATGGAGGTCACCAATGTTAAATACTTTTTGTTCCCCAAGGAAAACGGTATGGGTATTAGCAAGTCATGGAAATGGAGACTGCAATCAGAATTTTTTTTCTCATTTCAGACTTACAGTCATGAAGTTTACTTTGACAAAGACCTTGTATTACATATAGAACAGAAGCCTAACAGGAGGTTCAGTTGTTATGTTTACCAAATGGTCTGTGATGCTGCAAAAGATGATGAATGTTCAAGCCACGAAAAAACAGGAAGAGTGTTTTGTAAAAAAGGAGGGAGATTTTTTGAATATATTTAAGACATAAACAACAACTACAGAGACTTCAATTTGGATATTTAAGGACTTCATACATATGAATAAGTCAACTACTGTTTTTCAGGCGGGATTTAATCTTAACATTTTGTATTACTGTGTGAAGTTCTAACTTGTTTTTTCTCTGTGACATTGTACACTTGTCTGTAATCCGTAATGGCTTTCCATGTATTCACCAGTGCATCATTAATGCTAGATGCAGCATTCCTTGCCTCTCTTCAGCTATTGGATTGAAATACTGGACATCAAGGAGAAAGATGTGGACTTACTGATAACCTACCATCTGCTGTGGTCTGTCTTACGTAGTTTTACCTATGCAACTTTAATACAGACTGTTAATTACACAAAGTGTGTAAAACTGTATAGGATGAATTTTATATGTCGTATAAAAGTGGCAGAGTTACCATTAAACCACATAGACAAAATCCTTCTGTTTGTTTTGTGTGAGAAATAAAAAAACAACTTTTCTGGTTGTGTTTGTTTTGGTTTAAAGAGAAGAATTAATAAATTATATGTTTTTACTGCCTTTTTAATATGTATTTATATATGCATATATATACACACGTATAAAAACCCAAGCAATTCTCTGTTTCTCCCTGTGTCAAGGGTCAGGAGTTGTTCAGTCTGAGCCAGAGCGACCCAACGCTCAGCCAGATCCCTGTGTGCAGCCTGTCTGACGCCCGGGAGTGCCGTGTGGTATATTCGGATCCTGCAGAATGCAGGCTTTCGTTTTTAAATTAAAAAACACCCACAACAATAAAATACAGGCTTTAGGCTTCATGGCAATAAAGAGCATTTCCAAACACAAGCCAAACGTGGGCTCAGGAGAGTAGCGTGTGGAGGGACGACCAACATGCGATTTCCCGCTGCTGCCACCATTATCCTCAGTGTGATAATTTTAAAGCCAAATATCTCTTTTCACTGCAAGCTTTACTAATGAGGTGTGGATCATTCTAGCTGATGCAGCAGTGAAGAGCTCTAGAAGAATTATAAAAACTATCTATTGTGAGTTTTTATAAAATGTGTAATGCAAAAGAAAAGCGCAATAAAATTGTGGAAAGAAAAAACAACACGAAAAGGAGATCTAAGAAGGTAATGAAACAACAGTAGAAATGAAGAGCAGCAGCAACACTCTACTCCCACTCTAGCTTCAGTAAGTTTTCACTTAGTATCAAAGAAAGAGAACCTGTCCGTTATCTGCTGCTAGGTAAGTAAGGTATCAGGGTAAAAACTAATATGAATCTATACTTGTAGGTAGAAGATCCAATTCTTAAGCAGATACTGATATTTTATGCTCATTTCTGTTTGAATTATTAAAGCGGTTCCTCCCAGAGCAAGAGATTTAAACTTCATATTTTATTAAATAGTGCAAGTACTGCTCATCAGGAGTTTGCTGTACTTTTCAGTGACTGTTATTTCTAAGTTACCACAGACTTTTGCAGTTACGTTCTGCTAAATCAACAATTGTACATCAGTATACATCTTTTCAAAAATGCAACAATTTGTAATGACCAAAAGGCAGACCAGACTTTGATGAAGATGATTATGGGCTTCGTGTAAGAAATTCTGTCGCTCTAAAAGTGTGTTGCTGCACTACAGATAATGGCAGATATTCCATCCTGGAAGGTCACATACAGATGTTTTCACTCAGAAACAGGTGAGATGTTTCTGTTTAGCTTAAAACACCTTGAAAGCTATTTAAGACTAGAGAATCCAGAACGACTAGGCCTGAAGACTTCTATGAGTGTATTCGCAACCCTACTTAAGAATGGTCTGGGACACACCAGAGAAGCAGAATTACTAAATGCTTCTGGGTTGTACTTTTCAAGCTGTGAACAGCAGCGTTGCCTTCTGTGGAGCCCCAGGGAGTTCTAAAAATAAGCCTGTCTTTGAACGGGAGGAAAATCCTGACCACAAACCAGTAGTTTTTTACATTGTTAAAAATAACTCTGTATCTGAACCAAACATAAATACATGCATGCTTGGTGGCAGCCCACCTGAATCAACAGATTTTATTTCAAGTTAAATTTTGAAACAATTTTACTTTGCCAGGAGATTTTATATTTAAGCATTTTTTGGTAAAAGTTGCTGGCAGGGCTGTACTATTGTGCAGTATCAAATCGATATGAAATTCAAACAAATGCATTAGATCTGACCTGTAGACCTACAGTTTGATGTCCATTTATGATGATTCTAGAGCACTTACCTTTCTCTTTCTCATAATGTATATTAGGTACTTGAAAATCTTTTACACAACCTGAATAATTCAGTATACTAAAGAATAACAGTATTTGTAAAGTGGAGAAATTCTGAGGATACTCGTGGTTTCCATTACAGAGGAAAAATTACTTTTGTGCACATGCCCAGCATAGTTATCTCTGCAAACACCAAAGTGTGACATTAGTACAAGAAAAGAGAAACAAAATTGCTTTGAAAAAAGAGAAGTAACTTCTTCAAATATAGTTTATTTCCCATTTATAAATTCAGAAATTAAGATAACTAAAATACAGAAGACAAATATTCTTCAATTTCATAGGCAGTAGCTAATTGCTTTATGATCAGGAAACCCATTTACCGACAGCTTTCTGTTCTACAAAAATTGGACTAAGGAACTAGTAGTGTGAAATTCTGAGTTCCCTTACTGCCTGTGTATTTCAGGGGGCTGTGGCGTTCAGAGCCTGCAGATAAAGCCTCAAATAGATCAAATGCAGTCTCAGGTAAGTGGACCAAGTGCATACTTGAAAAGATTGAAGCTGAAGAGCTCATGCTTCCATAATTTTCACTAGCAGTACATGCCCAAGGAAAAAAAAAAAAGTGTATACATATATATAAAAATGTAAATGTATATAAGAACTGTTAACATGAGTAAAGATTCTCAAATGTGTAATTCAAACAGAATTGAAGGGCTCTTAGCCACTTTTGCCAACATTCCCAATTAGGTAACTTCACCCAAACTTTCTGCATTTTCAGTGTGTAGAAATGTTTCTTTATTCTTTTTTTCTGGATATGTCCTATTACTTCAACAGCATAGATTCTTGCTCATTTTATTCCAATTTTCCTCTTGATATTGACAAAAATACCATTTGTATTACTTAACAGTAACTGAAGACTGCCAAAAACTCACCAGCAAGAAACATTTTTTCCTTACGGAAATGCGACAGCTATCCCACACAACGGAACAGCTAATAATCAAATTAATTTGCTTCCCAGTTATTATAAACATTGCTATTAGGAATACCTGCTACAAAGGACACCTGTAGAGCGTGGCATGTAGACTGGGTGCTTTCTTAAAGAGCAGTTGCGAGGAACTACTGCTAGCTGCTTCAAGCAAAGTCTCTGGGCACTCTGCCTACAAAAGGGAAAATGTTGGTTTAGTAAGTTTAAAGGTCATGAATTCCATTTTGTTTCACCTAATTCATGTTGGGATTCACCTAGGGTTGTTTGAAAGAAGCTTTCTGCTGTTGCTAGAATGTACAAAACCTAAACGATACAAGTGGAAAAGGGGAAGAAGTAATCAAACATGGTTTTCTAAGGCTGAACCGCAAACGAATTTATAGAACGGTGACTGAGTTCTTTCATAACTGCCAAGTATTGCTACAGTCACCAGCACAAAACCTTTAAAGAACTTTTTTTTCTGGAAGGTGTGTGAATTGATCTGATCTGTACGTAGCAATGCCTCACTAATAAAATTGCATAGCATATCTGAACCCTTTCTTTATCGAAGAACTGGAGAAATTTAATTAGTCTCTGCTAAAACAAAGAATTCAAACACTTCCTGCAAAACTGTTACTTTTGAAGAATGGATGAAGAGTACAGTAATTGCCAACTACCCCTATTCATACTTGAAGAAAGTTTCTGTGTATCAACATGAATTCCAGGTGTCTCTCCCGATAGGCAGATTGAATAGGTTATGAGTACTAAGAGAAGGAAACAAGTATTCCAGTATTTAACTTCAGTGTTAGAGATATGTAAGGGAACATCTTTGTTTTGCAGCTATTTCGCAATCTTAGATTTTCAGAGAGGATCACTTGAAGCTTTCTGGTTGTTAGACTTGGCGTTTCCGCAACTGTAACTTTAGTATTTATTTCTGCTTTACTGAAGCTACAAAATGGTGACCAAAGTAACCTTCAGGAGCTCCAAAATAATTTTTTGTCAACATGTTCTAATGTTCTTAGACTAAATAAATTTAAAGTAGTCAAACTGCTTGCTTTGGATAATGAGAGATTAAAATAAACTGCAAAATAGTTTGGTTTTTTTTAAATAAAAGGAACTAGGTATCCTAGCAGAGTGAAGAGTTACAATGATACAATTGTTACGAACTGCTTTGGTTGGCATAGCTTAACAACTCTTTTAGTAAACTGGGAGTACAAATACCTTAGTCCTGTCTGAGTGGGGAAGGAATAATGTGTTCTTAGGAATATTATATTTTTAGGGAAGAGTAAGTGCACATTCTTCTCAGGAAGAGACAAAGGAAGCATGGATGGGGAAGTTAAACTTACTAGAATTACTCCGCAGAGTGGCTCAAGAGCTCTGGCTTACTTGAGACGCTGCAGGAAAAGGAATGCACTCCACGTGATCCATAGGATTGCAGGCTCACCAGCCCATCTCCAGTAACAGCTGCTTGCCAGAAGCCAGATGGGAAAATTATCCTGTTAACATGTTTACTTGGATGCTCCACATTCAGACTCATACATTGGCAGTTTTCCTGATTATCTTCTGGATCTGCAGTTCACCTCAACTTTGGGTATGTATGCGTGTTGCCTGTCTCTAACACACAGCTTGCAGCATGGTTGCGGCACATTTCCATGCTCTGGGGCAGAGATGTAGGAAATTCTCGACTGTTGACAGCACGCTTTTCCTCTTTTAGCCCTTTATAATGCCACTGCCTCTTCTTTCTTCTGCCTGGAAGCTGGCTTGATTTTATAACTGTCTTAGAAATATTTGTTTCATAGACCAAAGCAGCATATTTCCAGCATTTCTACAAAAACAAGATCACTTTTTTTCCCCCCCCCCACTTCACCATGATGTCTCAATGATCATCTATCTGGACAGAGAAGCAAAAATGGGTTCCTAGAAGTGCTACCCCTATCTTTATCTGTACTCGATAAACATAGGAATAATTTCCCAGTCAGTGCCTAGGGACTGA